ATTTTTAAAGCGCGCGTCCTCAAAATTCTCACAAGCAACAGTTGTAAGAACAGCATTAGAGCGCTACTGAATATCAGAAAGCGTTTTCTAGGCGTAAAGTGTAAAATAGAGCTTAGAAAATTCAGTGGAAGGATATAAAACTTGCGGGCTTTATTAAGGATTCAAAGACGTATGCATGCCTCATCCGCTGTTTAAATTATGCCCGGTGTTTTGTGGCAAATGTTAATACAAGGTTAAAAAGACAAACCAGTGTTTCAGGATCTGAAGTTTGTAAAAATAGCTCTGTTCTGCACCGCTTTAATTGAAAGCGAGTTGAGCTGAAATGTAATTTTACATCTTTTCCTTGATTTTTTTTTTACTTCCCATCTTTCTTTCTTTGGGTCTATCTTTGGTTCTTTGTTTCTCACACTCTCTGTTTTTGAAAGGTGAACAATAACAAGATCCATTTCTCCTCTCTCATTTTAACAAGGACAGTATCAGTGTGGTTCTTGTTCATTAGTATCACATATCACACCTCTGTCACCCTTAGATCTGGAGGAGGCAGAGGTGTCAAAATGACACATGTGCGCACGCATATTTTTTTACCCTCTCCTTCACCGAAAGAAAAAGCCACAGAAGTCGATTCGCACTAGTTCCTGCTCTTTCCCTCAGTGTTCCATTTTTCTTCTGTTATTTTGCACCCCTGGCCTGAATTGTGCATTTTTCTTCATAGCAGCAATGTGTGAGTTTCTAGTAGTATTACAAAAATGAAAAGCACCTAGTGCCTGCCTTTAACTCCTCACTGCCACCACTACCCAAGGGCAATAGCAAATTAGATATACGTTCCCTCTGGAGGTACAAGAAGCGTCTTTGTATTTAGAAAAAAGTGCTTGTTTGTTCATAGTGCTAATTTTATTTACCTTCCCTACCACTGTGTTAATAAAACAGCTCAGGGGACTATATGAGCAAGAGCTTTAAATAGCAGTAAATTAGTTTATTCGGTATTTCTTTTATCCTAAGAATAGATGAGCTTTTCATTTTGTGTGTGTGATTAAATCTCATGTGATGCACAGGATTTCTTAAATGTGGCTTGTAGGCCACACTGACACAATTGGGAGCCTCATCATCAGAAAATGAAATATATATTCTCATTTTCAGGATACTTTACCTGACTGATTGTTGTAGGAGGGTACAGGCCTTCAATAGTTAGTTATTTGAAATACTCAGTAGAACTGCAGTTTCAGAAGATCCAAGGAATCGGTTTTAATGAATGATCGGGAATTATACATTTATTCAGCCGTTTGACCATTCCTTGCACTGCGTTTTAAACGTAGCTCCACTTCTCCATATGATAGTTGTCGGGCAGATCCGAGAGGTCAAGGATGCCTGTGCCCGCAAGCCGTGATTTAATATTAATGACCAGCAGCCAATTGGAAGTCATCAATAGGTCAGAGGTTATCTTGGGGTTGCAGATGCAGGAAGTTAATGTAATTAAAGATGCATCACATTGTCGATTGCAGAGAAAGTGTCTCTTCCACTCTTAATTTCTTTGTTGAGCTGTCTTCTCTTTGTAAGGCCCTTTAATATGCCTTTGTGCGTTTTTGATTTTTGTCCAAATATCTTGTGCTTTGCATGGATTTTCATCCAAACACTCCTTATAGTTGTGTTTTTCTGTGTGTGTAGGACATCTGAAAGCCTTTGTAAGAAGGAAAGTGACTGGGGAAAGAAAACAGATTGAAGGCATAAATAGTCAGAAGGCTACATGTAATGGTCTCGTGTGTTGTCTTTGACAGGGTGCTGTTACATGAGGATGCTCCTGCACCCCTCTGATTCCACTCTGT